AGACCATGGCCTGTATCAGACGCACTTTAGTCTCCAGAGAGATACCATTGCTCTTCAGTACTTTGGAGAGGTCCCTAACAGCAGACTTTCCCATGGCAATGCGCCTTTTAATTTCCTGGCTGCTGGTGCCAAGACTGTGCTGACTATGTGGAGAAAAAGAGCTAGCTTTGCAAATATCAGGGAAGAGGATTCTAGACCGAGGAAACAGTGAGTGCAAAGGTCATTTCAGACTTGACTCAGGGCCTTCAAGTAAGAACTGACTTGACCTTCAGTAGCTAGGTTGTCAGAGACAGAATATTGAATATACCATGGACTGCTAGGAGAACAAACAAATTCGTCCTGGAAAGGGAGAAGCTAGCTGCTCCTTGGAGGGAAGGATTCCAAAGCTTCACCTGACATACTTTGGACACGTTGTAAGGAGGGACCAGTCCTTGGAGGGGGACATCATGCTTGGGAGGGTGGAGGGACAGCACAGGAGAGGAAGACCCTTAATGAGATGGATTGATTCAGGGACTGGGGTAATAGGAATAATGTATGAGATTAGCTGGGCTGTTGTACACTGTTGTACTCACTATGAGTCACAGGCGACTCAATGGCACATAACAACAACCAGTAGTGTAAGAGGAGGCTGTCTATCTTTCTTCCAGAACCACTGGTGGATTTGAACCACTAAAAGATTTCCATCTTTGGGTAGGCAGTGCATCTCTTGCTACACCACTGGGGCTCTTAAAGGGCCTAGAGTAGGGGAAGAAATTGCAGTTAATGATTAGGACAAGAACAACAAAAGATCATATCAGAATAAAGAAGGCCAGATCACCAAGGCTTTGAAAGACAAACTTGAAGGAATTTAGACTTGGATCTAACTTCAAGAGGAAGTTACTTGAGGGATATAAATAGGTGAGATTGAATTTACATTTACATTTCAGCAAGAAAGTGTCAGCTGGAGTGTGGAGAAGGAGCAGGAAGAGAATGAGAGCAGAATGAAAAGACAGGGGTGGTGAGGACACTGGTGCTCAGCAGGAAAAAGTTATAGCGGAGACCACAGTGGAGGAATGCAGCGGCAGAGTCCACAGAATGGACTGATGGTGTGTTGGGACACGAAGGAGGAGAAATTAAAAAAAGAATAACTACTGATGGGGCAAAAGAAGCCCTGGTGTTGCAGTGGTTAAATGTGTGGCTGTTAACCAAAAGGTGAGCAGTCTGAACCCACCAGCTGCCATGGGGGAGATCATGTGGTAGTCTGCTTTTGTAACAATTTAGAGCCTTGGATTCTACTGTCACACAGGGTCACTATCAATTCCATAGCAAGAGGTTGAGTTATTCATTGTTCACTATTTAAGAATGTGCAGTTGACATAAGTCCAGAAAGAAGGCTGCATAGTGGAGTGGACTTGGGGGGGAAGGATTGTATAACAATGAAATAATTTTTCTTTTACTTTTCAAAGAGAAGAACTGGAGGGGAGGGGTGGGCAGGGAGAAAAAGGCAACAATGAATGAATGGAAATCCAAAATATCTGTAAATTTTCATTAAAATTAATAATACCTAAAAAATTGGTGATAATGAAAAATATAAAAACTAATTAAAAAAACTTTAAAAAAAGAATGTGCAGTTGAAGAATGGATAGCGGAGGGAAAACCAATGGTTTTATTTTGTCTATGTTAAGTTTAAAGTTCTTATTTTAAGGGGAGGTGCGACCAATGCGGATTCTGTTAGCTGTGTAATCAGGAAGGATCCTACGTCTGCTCTTTTGGGTATAATGCTTGTCTGTCAGATCTATTTATAAAGTTGAACATATAAAGTAAGACAGACAAGGAAGAAGGATAGGCTATACACTTACAAAATAAAAGGCCTTCAAAACCCCTGTGTACAATAGAGCACGCTTAGATTAGACTAGTAGATATGGCACCGGAATCTGAGTCCTCATATTGGGAAACACAAAGGAGAACAATTGCAAACAGAGACTAGTGACTGGACCGTGGAATGTGATAAGCAGGAATGTAGGGAAATTGAACATTGTTAAGGAAGAAATGGAACACATAAATATTGAGATACTAGGCACTGGTAATTTGAGATGGACTGGCATGGGACATTTGAATCAGAAAATCATATGATCTAATGTGCTGGAAATGAAGAGGAAAACCCGGTTGCATTCATTTTTAAAAAGACCATTTCTAGATCTGTCTCGAACTACAATGTTGTGAGTGGTAGGTTAATATCCATACACATACAAGAAAGACCCGTTAATACTACTATCATTCAAATATATGCAGCAATAACCAGAGCCAAAGAGGAGGATAGAGTTGATTTTTACCAACTTTTGCAGTTGCATGCACTAATAATAATGCATGACTGGAATGCAGAAGTCAGGAACAAGGAATAAGGTTCAGTAGTTGGGAAACATCGAATTGGTGATAGAAATGAGGCTGGAGATTCTGTACAATCAATGATTTACTCATTGCAAATACCTTTTATAAGAAACACAATCACTGACTATACTCATGTGATGGTCTACACAGCTGTCAGAATGATTAATCTATGGAAAGAATCGTTGGAGAAGCTCAGTGTCAGCTGTGAAAACTAGGCCAGGTGCTTATTGTGGAAAAGATCATCAACAACTCATTTGCAAGTTAAAGCTAAAGAAAATGAAAACAAATCCACAAGAACCAGTATCTGATCTTGAATCCATCCAACCTGAATCTAAAAACCATCTCCAGAACAGGTTTGAGGTCTTGAACACTAATGAATGAAGACCAGACAAGCTGTGGGAGAATATCAAGAACATCATTTATGAGGAGAGCAAAAAGCCATCAAAAAGACGAAGATGAAGAAAAGACCAAGAAGGATGTAAGAAAAGACTTTAACTATTGCATTAGAATGCTGAGATCCAAAGCAAAGGGAAAATATCAGGAAATTAAGGAGCTGAAGAGAAGATTTCAAAGGGCAGCTCAAGAAGACATAACAAAGTATTATAATGAAATGTGGAAAGAGCTGTAGTCAGAAAATAAAAATGGATGAACTAATTCAGCATTTCTTAAGCTGAAGAAACTGAAGAACAAACTCAAGCCATGAGTTGCGACACATACGGATGCTAAGGGAAGAATACTGAATGCCCCAGGGAACACCAAAAGGAGATGGAAGGAATACACAGAGTCTCTGTACAAAATAATCTGAATGACAAAGAAGAATTTACAAAACAACAAATGATTAGAAGGTAATGGTGATGAAGAAGGAAGTTCATGCTGCTCTGAAGAAACTGGTAAAAAATAAGGCCCCAGGAATTGATGGCATACAAACTGACATATTTCTGCAGACAGATGCTGCCCTGGACATGCTCACCAGTTTGTGCCAGGTAATCTGGAGGACAACTGCCTGGCCAACTGAATGGAAGAGATCCACATTTAAACACATTCCAAAAAAAAAAAAAGGATGCAATAGAGTGTGGAAATTACCAAACAATATCACTAATTGCACATACAAGCAAAATCCTGCTGAAGATTATCCAAAAATGCCTGGAACAGTACATCAATGGAGAACTATCAGAAATAAAAGTTAGTTTAGAAAGGAATATGGCACTAGCAACATGTCAGATGGATCTTGGTTAAAAGCAGAGTACCAGAAGAATGTCTCTGTTTCATTGACTACTTAAAGGCCTTTGACTGTGTGGATCATAACAAATTGTGGCTAACCTTGAGAAGAATGGGAATCTCAGAACACCTGATTGTGCTCATAGGAAACCTATACCTTGCAGTCAGCAGAACAGAACAGAGAAACACTGTATGATTCAAACTCAGGAAAGGAGTGCATCAGAGATGTGTCCTTTCTCCATACCTTCTCAATCTATAAGTGGAACAGATCATTCAGGATGCTGGAACCCCAATTGGAGGAAGACTCATCAACAACCTGCATTACACAAATGAAACAACCTTGCTCCCCGAAATTAAGGAGGAACTGAAGCATTTGCTGCAAAAAGTCAAAGACTGTAGTACTGAATATGGATTGAAACTCACTATCAAGAAGACAAAGATTCTCACCACAGGGCCAGTTGGTGACATCATGATAGGTGGAGAAGGGATTGATATTGTTAACAATTTTAGCTAGCTTGGCCTCAGCAATCAGAAAATCAAAAGATGACCTGCATTAGGATAATCTGTTTCAAAGACCTCTCCAGAGTGCAAAAGGGCAATGAAGTCAATCTAGAGACTAGATGCACCTGATCCAGGCCATGGTGTTCACAACTGCTTGCTGTGCACTAGAGAGCTGGATAATTACTGGGGATGACTAAAGAAGAATCGATGCCTTTGAGTTGTGCTGGAGAAGAGTATTGAACATATATATTATAGCCTGACAAGAGAACAAACTGGTTGGTCCTGGAGAGAGAGAAATCAGGTTGCTCCTTGGAGGCAAGCATTTTGAAGCTCTGACATACTTTGAGCTTGTTACAGCAGAGATCAGTCCTTAGAGAGAAGGACAACATGAGTGGAAGGATAGAGCGACAGCATGAGAGAGGAATGTGTAGAGGAGGTGGATTTAAACAGTCACTGGGATAATGGAGGTAAGTTTGTCAGAGACAGTGAGAGTGAATCAGGATAATGCAGGGTTGAGACCTATTATGTGTCGCAAACTACTCGACAGCACATAATAAAGCAACAACATTCAAAATGAAGGGCTAGGAAGGATAGAATCAGGTCCACAAAGGAGACTTCACAAAAGGCATGCCTTTCATTTTCTTTTTAAAAGATTTCTGCATAGCTCAATATGTGCTGCATACTCTTTTTCTTAATACTAATAGCGAGAAGGGAGGCATCAGAGTTAGGTAACAAAGTGAATTTATAAAAAGAAGCATTCTATCTGGCTTAAAAATTTTCTTTGTATTCTAAGGTGCCAAGAAAAAGAAGGAGAAGGAGGAGATAAATGATAATTTGCGGTCAAATGTTAAACAATTTCATAAAGTTTAGTATCAGGCTAGTAATGATGTTAGCACATAAATTAAGGGAGGAAAATGTCATTAATAGTTAACAAAGAATTCAATAATCTATTGTGTCTAAATGTATTAGGATCTTTGGCATAGATCTCCTTTTTTATTAAAAATTATCTTCCTTGAAAGTGAGAGGTGAATCAGAAAGAGCACTTGAAAATTATTCTTCTAAAAAATAAAATAGAAATTAAAAAACCCCATGAGAAAGTCACATAAAAAATCTTATAAAATATTCTCATAGAATACCTCATAGATTTCTTTTTTCCGATCAGCTGCTAGTGAGATTCCAGTAGGATTGTTACCACTTGGAACGGTGTAAAGAAATTTGGGAGTGTTTTTCTTTGGGTCCTGTGAATCTTCTGGTTTCCATTTAGAAAGTACTTCTTTGAGGGAGTCTGGAATAATTCCATGTTCATCACTGGAAACATTAATGAGGTTACAGCCCAATGGTTTGAGCTGTTGAGCAGAAAGAAAAAAGAAAAGGCAAGATTCAGATATAAGTATAAAAATATAGGTGCCACTTATCTTTGTTATGCTAACTGAGAATGTGAGTGAGCTCTGGTGGCCGAGTGGTAAGGAGATGCAATGCCAACCCGAAGGCATGCCGTTTGAATCCACCAACTGCTCTGTGAGAGAAAGATAAGCAGTCTCCTGTATGATTTACTGCTTCTGAGGGCCCGCTGGAGGGTCAGCTATCAACCATTTCTGACTTGGAGGTACATAACTACAAGAAATGAGAAATTTACCATTTGCACCGTTACACATACATGAACTTGTAAATCCAGCTATAAATGCAGGTCAAGGCTATATATTCTAATCCTATTTCTTCCTGAGATAGGTTCTAATTGCGACAAAATACCCTGTTCCCGCCTTCTTTGACTTACTTGGGTCAGGCTTAGCCACACATAATGTACTGAGCAGTAAACTGTGAGAAGTGCTGTGTTCCTTACCAGCAGAAGCTTTTTAGAACCCAACCTGTGGTCCTTCCTGTCTCTTTTTCCCTCTGCTCAAAGAACAACAGTGTTCCAGTGTTGGGCTCTGAATTAAGATGACATAGAACAGAAGTGGAGCTGACCTGATGTGGACATGTAGCGTCAATTTGAGTGAGAAAGAAAACTAGCTGTGAGCCACTGAGGCATATCATCATCGAGCCTCTTTTGACTGGATTATTGTAATAATGAAAAATGATGAAAATTGATTTATAAAGTTAAAACAACAACAAACAAACCAGATTAAGTGTCATCAAGTTGATCTGACCCATGGCCAACTCACGTGGGTAGGAGTAGAACTGTATTCCACAGGTTTTCAAACTGATTTTCAGTACTAGACTGTCAGGTTTTGCCCTCGAAGAGCCTCTCAATAAAAGCAAACAGATTATCAGGTTAAGAGTTTGTATGGTCTAGGGAGTCTTAGAATGGTGCCCTAAATGAACAAAATCCTAGGTGGTATAGTCAAAGCAGTGATTGAAGACCCCAGATGATCAGCTTCCTTATTCTGTATATTACAACCTTATTAATCAATCATAGAGGGATAGTCCCATTTATACCACATTAGTTTATAGTTACTGCAAATGGACATAGCTTGGAAGGAGGAGCGGCATCCACTTCCATAATAGCTTGCCTCCGGAAACCCTAAGAACCTGGAGAGAGGATGAAAGGCACCCAAGGGTCGAAGACTCTCCTTCATAGATAGGGTTGCTATGAGTTGCCTGCAACTCGATGGCACTCAACAACAGCAGCAACAAATAGACATAAAATATAGTTATGTTTATGCTCATCTCAAAACCCATCACTGTTGAGTTGGAACCAACTCATAGCTGGATCTCCTGAGGTTTTTCTGAGACTGTCAATCACATGGAAGAAGAGTGTTCATTTTTCTCCTCCTGGTAGATTTGAACCAACAGAGAGGTGGTGACTTTGGGTTAGCAGCACAACTCCCTACCAAGTAGGCCACCAGAGCTCTTCTTATGCATAAGAAGAGGGGCAATGAAGATTTTTGTAAATTAAGTCATATTTTCAAGTAAAATGTCAAGAAAATTGGGAATGAATCTGTCCAATGTACTTTAGCATCTATAAATGTGGGTCTCTAACGCTAGGGGAAATAAATGCATGCTGTGTGACTCAGCTAGGAGGGAATGCACCTGGTTTCCTCCAGACTTTGCTCCTTTTCCATTTGCAGATGGTACTGTCTATAATGGTTATGTAATGGTGAGTGTCACAACAACATAAAGCACAAATACAACAGAGGGTAATTTGACATATTTTACATATGTCCTTCTGTTAATTGATGAAAGACACTTCTAAATGCACAATCCTTCCATCTTATTTGTTTCCTCAACAGACACTCACAGCTTGAATTGTTCCTGAGTAGACAGGTTCATCAAGGATGATGTTATCTCCAGGACTCACGAGCATCTCAAACACCTAACAAAAGAAGCAGAGGTTAGTTTAGGCAGCATTGTTTCCATCTCTCTGTCTTCAGTTTGCACTCTCTAAGAGTCTACAGTAGGGGTTTGTTAATTTTTCACATAAACAGACAGTAAATATTTTCAGCATTGTGCTCTTGCCTCCGCTCAGCTGTGTTGTAGTGAAACAACACGATCGTGGCTGTGTTCCAAGAAAACTTTATTGGCAAAATCAGAAGGGCTAGAAAATCTTCTTAGGCCAAACTCTGTCCACAGCTGATTTAAGGAAAGCTTTTTTTGGCTTCTAAAGATTTATTTATTCTTTTTTCCCCCTTGTTTCTAACTTAATTTTAATTTTTTTTAAACAAGCATTTAATAAACTTTTATTTATGGTCACAAAATATTTTTGTTTACAATGTAAATGAACAAACACCACTCTTAGTTTAACAATAATAAAAAACAGGCAGGTTAAGCCTGATCTATAATTTAAGACTGCTATCCTTTGGGCTAGAGAACTACTTCCTCTTGCAGGTAAATTTGGGCCAGGTGCTCTAACATGCCTAATCTGATTGAGTGTAGAACTTCTTGTATTAAACTAGTATTTTAGAATCTATTAGCATAAATTAAATCCATCACTGTTGAATCAAAGACCTTCTCTACAGCCTATCCTAACTCTACCACATGGGGTTTCCATTAAGAGCAAGATCATGAGAGCAAGCTTGAGACATCACACTAAAAAGAAAGGTCTTGGGATATACTCTTGAAAATCACTGAAGAAAATCTCATGGATCACAGCAGAAGCTAACTTGTTTTTGACGCATCATCAGTGAAGACTAGTTCCTGGACAAAACATTTGTGGAAGACATGATTTTGAAAGATAAAGCACATCAGTTTCACACAAACAAAATACGTTTGTGGGAACACACTCACCTGACACTTTGCCTCAAAGATAACCAAAGGGACATGCACAAAGTTTACCAACAGTTCAAAAAGACAAGTAGTTCTCCACTCAACCAACAACTCAGCACACACACTGAGTGTTTAGGTTGGACTTTACATTAAATTGTATTTGAGATCAGAATATCTAGCACAGTATTTTATTTTAATAAACGTTTATTAATTCTTAGCCAGAAAAAATGCTTTAGAGCATTGGATGTTTTTAGGAATTTAAGAGTGACTGACAGAAAAATCTGCTACCAAGGATCTCTTTAAAGTGGTAAAGAAGGGGGAGCTCTGGTGGCCTAGTGGCAAGGAGCTGCAACTACAATCCCTGAGGCACATGGTTCGAATCCACCAGATGCTCTGCCGGGAAAAGGAGGGACAATTACCTCCTGTACCAGTCTGATCTGATTTGACGGTACACTCACACAAAAATTTAAAAAAAATAAAAAAAAATAAAAAATAAAGTGGTAAAGAACAAAAATGTGACTCTTAAAGGCCAAAGTGTGCTGACCAAGTCATGATATTTTCAACCACTTCATATGGATGCAGAAGCTGAACAATGAATAAGGGAGATAAAGTAATTAACGCCTTTGAATTACAGTACTGGTGAAGAATATTGAATATGCCACAGTTTACCAAAATCAATATATCTGTCCTTGTAGAAATGCAGTCACAGTGCTTCTCAGAAGGAAGGATAAACAGAACGCCAATGAAAAAGAGGAAGACCCTCAGGAAGATGGACTTCAGTGGGTTTAAGTAGAGCAGAGATTGTGAGGGTGGTGCAGGACTTTATTCTGTTATATACAGGACAGCTATGCATTGGACCCAATTGGACAGCACCTACCTCACAAAAAAAAAACATTTCAAGGAATCACAATCAATAGCTGAAAAGGCAAAAACTACTTGTTTCACGTACACAGAAATAACTTTAGAAGTTCATCTGCTGGCCACTAATAATATCTAAGGACAAATAAGACTACTGCAAAGGAAACAGGAAGTCTAGCAAACCAAGATTTAGCACTGGCCAACCACAAGCCCCTCCATCTCACCACGGATAAACAGGTCTGACTGCATTGCTTTACTTGAAGAAATGCTCTTCCTCCAAACACTGTGCCAATGTCTGTATGTAGCAAAATGTCAAGAGTTAATCCTAGCAACAAAACCACTACATTTTTTTCCAAACACACCCATATTATATTCAAAATTACTGTTTGTCCTTTCTTCTTGAATGTGTAGGTGTTTCTGTTTCTTGTGTTTCTTCTTTTACACTGACAACAGGTTTGAACACTATTTCATTATCTTCATCATTATCATTTATTGTAGCCACTTCAGATTTTCGTCTCTCCAAATATGATGGTGTACAGACGGGTGTAGAGTCCTTGCTACCTGTACAGTTCTGAAGATCACTGTTGGTGACACTTCTTTCCTTTTTGGGTAAAACCAATGGAGGAAAATTATAATTAATTCCTTTATCGGCTAATTTCTTTCTTAGTAATTTTTCTTTGTGTTTAAATTGCTTTTCCATCCGTAGCTTTTCTGTACGTGTTCGGTGTTTATTATATCGTTTCACTGCAGGATTTGATGGCTTTGAAAATGGAACATCCCAGTCTTTGAAAAGTTCTTCATGTACCTTCTCAGGTGGCATGAAATCACACTTCAAGAGTCTTTCACTAAAAAGGTAGTTGTTCATTGTTTCAGCAACGATCCTGGCAACATCATCAGACTCAAACTCCATAAAGGCATAACATTTACTATTTCCTGTCTTTTTACTTCTGGACAATTTAAGTCTCGTAACAGTGCCAAACTGGGAGAAATATGACTTGAGTTGGGGTTCAAAAAGGCCTCGAGGTATGTGACCAACATAGACAACTCCAGGAGTAAGTTTTTCTTTCTGCGTCGCGTGCTGGCGGACCTGTGCCACCTGTTTCTGAAATTCGGCCTGCTCCTGCGGGTTCAGCGATAAGAGGGGCTTCACAGGACCAGCAAATGCAGCCATGACCAAACTCTCGAAGCAAGCTTAATTTTAATTTTTATTGTTGTTGATATTGATTCAACTACAACTTCTATAACTATCAACAACAGAACAATGTCCTCTCCTGCACCATCCTCACAATCTCTGCTATTCTCATGTACTCTTTTAAAAACGTTACTAAATAGCTTCTACAAAAACAATAGGAGTTCCTGGGTTGTAAAAATTATTAACACACTTGCTACTATTTGAAAAGTTAATGGTTTGCGTCTGCCCAAAGGCGCCTCAGAAGGAAGGCCTGGTGATCTAAATTGGAAACCTTAGCCATTCTACAGAGTATAGTTCTACTCTGACACACATATCACCATGCAGTAAGTGTGTACTTAGTGGCAACTGATATTCTCACTTGTCTGTGTGTTTTGTTAATAAGCAAAGCCTGTGTATGGTACTGAGGAGAAAATGGTGAGCAAAGATGATGTGGTTTTTATCCTCAGAACTAACAGGCCACTGAGAGAAGTAGTTACCAATCAAATAATCACACAAATGCATATTTCACGGAAACAGAGGCTAGTGCTATGAAGGACAGAAGCATAGTATTACAGGAATGTGTTGCAGGAGGATCTGGCCCAGTTTGGTTATTCAATGAAAGCTTCTCCGAGATGTACTGGGAGAGGGAGTTACAATAGATGCACTCACTCTGAAGAACCAAAAGAATTCTGTGGCTTCAGGCAGAACATGAAGCAGAGAAGGAACAAAGGCCAGAAAGAAGTAAGTAAAGACCATTCCATGCAGGGACTTGGGCCAAGGGAGGCCAGTTAGAATTTTAAGCAAGGAATGGGGAGAAGGGTTCACAAGACCAAATATGCATTTTGAAAGATCATTCTAGCTAAAGGATGAAAGAATAAAACACCAAGGTCCATGTGTAAAGATTCTGTGGGAAATTACTGCCTCATTTCTGTAGACAACTGAGAGGAATTCTAAGGTGATATGGTGCCACTGAGGGCAATTAAAAGAGACTGTCAAGACTGACTCCAAGATTTATGGATAGAGATGTGATGTGATATCATTTAGTTAGATGGCTAGATGTGATGCCATTTACTGACAGTATAAACAACAACAACAACAATAAAAAACAAAACCAAAACACTAAAAACCAACAACAAAAACAAACAAGAAAATAATAAGAAAATCCCAACAAAAATCAGAGTGTAAAATGGTGCAACCCCTGTGGAAAGCAGTATGGCGCTTTCTCAAAAAGTTGCAAATAGAGATACCATGTGACCCAGCAATTCCACTACTGGGAATATACCCTGAAGAGACCATAGCTGACATCCAAGCAGATATATGCACACCCATGTTTATTGCAGCTTTGTT